TCAGTTTTGTGCTCCTGCTAGACTTGAACATCTTTATCGTCTTGGGATTTGCGGTGAAATCCCGCGCCTTCCGAAGATCCGGGCACGCGCACCATGTGGTGGAGTGGGTTCTCAAAATTGTATGATGAGACCCCAAACCACTCACTGTGCCGGACTGCCGACTGTCGGAGGGGGTACCCCGATGCCGCGTATGGACCTTTTTTCAATTTGTGTATCTGTCGGATGGCGGGTTGCACTCTTCGAAAGACTTGGTGAGGATATGGACGTCTGCCTTGAGGGAGGTAGATCTGGGGGGCCTCGAGTGGATATGCTTCACTCGGTGGGCCGGTAGGTGGCCACTCGATCGACCTTGTCGAGAGTGGACTTAGAGCCAAATTCTTCAGGGAGCTTGTCGTCCCTGGCCTTTTCCTTCTTGTTTCAGGGGCATCAACCACCTGACCTTTACTTTGCTCCCGGACCGTGAGGTAAGGGAGGCCGCTTCCGATAGCGGGTCTTGGGGGGTGTTGCTACTTGAACGAGCTCACAGGCCAAATATATCCTGGAGCTCTATTCGCACTTGAACTTCGCTACACAACTGTCTCCGACGGGGGCCAAAATATATCCCTTCCCGGAACAGTGAGTAACTTAGAACAAGTCCTTCTTGGGTGACGGAGTCGTGCCACGTAGATCGCAAATTGAGTATTATTTAATATAGTCCTATCCTTTCAACTCCTTTATTCTATCCTTGCCTGAAGCTCTGATTCCTAGTGTCGACTAGTCTGATCCTTGTATTAACTGGTCCGGAGTGGCTGAACCCCGGAGGACAAAGGTCGATCGCCGAGGGACCCAGGCCGACCAATGAGGGATCGGGTCGACCAACGAGTGTAACGGGGCTAGAACGTATCGTCACTAGCTTACACGCGCGCTCGAGGAAGACTCAAGCCCAAGTATTAGGTATTAAGTAAATTTAACTCTGATTTTTATTTTGGTTTTAATTCGTACTAATTACGAAGATTTTAGTCGTAATAAATACGACAGTGTTCCCGCCTTTCGGGAACCACACAATTTCAGGTTGATTTATCATTGGTCCATATTGGGGACTTTAGGCCCAATAATAAACCAATAATAAATTACCACGCTGTGCCCGCTATTCGGGCCCAGCACCTGCCTACATATGTAATTGTTTATTTGTGTTAATACTATGTGTGTAATGTAGCCTATTACATCACCCTTTTCTCATGACAGCACTCACCAACCGTGAGTGCTCAACTGTCGAAAACCCTTCGCTCACAAACGAACAAGCAATGTCCGGAGACACAACATACAATCCAGCAGCACTTCCCAGCACCATCAGCGGGAGTGCAACAACCAGCATCATGGCGCGGCAACTCATACCTTGGTCGCTGTACGACTTGTCCGGAGCTCACGCTCCGGACTCGCTGGACACGATGCGGGACTACTTCTGCCGATTTCGAAAACTGCGCGGAAAAGGTCTTGATGGAATCGAGCATGAAGCTCTACAACGTTCTTGGTGTGCCTTCATCCAACGTTGGAATCGGATGCTCGAGGATGGTAGCAGCTTCCATTTATGGCTCGCCAATCGAGAGGAGCTTCGCGCCGAACTCATGACGAATGGAGACGACACATCGCTGAGTGTCCATTCAGTGATTGCGAACGAAGTTGGATTGCAAAGTATGAGCGAAGTCTGAGCGAACGGAGAAGCGCAGTTATTCGTGGTGCGCCTCGCTGGCAGCACCACTCGCGACAGCGGAGTCAATCTCCGCGGGATCATCAGCGCAGGGCAGCGACACGTTTGCGTCCTGCTGTGCGATTCTCGCCTCGCAATCGTGATATGTATTCACCGCGACGTTCTCGTTCACGGCGTCGTTCTCATTCGCGACATCGTTCTCGTTCGCGTCATCGTTCCGTTCCCGACGACGTGGATCTCCTCACCGCTCTCGTTTGTCACGAGAGCGTTCGCGTGCTCGCCCGCCTTGGAATAGTCCGACTTCGTGACTTCATACGACAGAACCACATCTGGAACGTCACGAAGGAGCGAGGAACGTGGTTCCCATGTATCCTGCTCGGGAGGGAATCCAAGCCAACGTACTCGGTACCTGCGCACGGATGTAACCGCACGCTTCTCATGAGCCGACTGCAGTAATGGTTGTGGAGGGTCCTCGTGACCCACAAGAATGCGGTCTACAATCCAGCGCACCTGTCCCTCCGCATCAACAAGCGGAGGAGGGCCCTCGCGATGGTAATGCTGGCGTCCTGGTTGCTCAGGAAGATGTTGATCAGGCCGTGAACATAGCTGCCGATTCTCGGCTGGAGGCTGAGGCTGCCAGTGAACGTGCTGCCCAGGCGGAGAAGACTTCGAGTGAGACCCGGCAGTCGAACCGTGAACTGCTCGAACGGATAAGGATTCTGGACCGCCAGGTGCTTGGTCAGGTTCAGACGGGATCGGGACCCCGCCCCATGTCATCGACGCGTCGAGCACGACGGGAAGGCCGTTCGACTTACGAACCCCTGAAGCCGGCGTCGGAGCCAAACCGTGAAGCGTAGCCGGATGATATTCCTTCAGCCGCCCGACATAGAATGTCGGGTGGAGTCGCAGTGAAGAGGGGACGTCGAGTGTATAAGCGTCGCCAATTGCCTTCATAACCTTGAATGGACCGATGAAGCGTGGCGCGGGTTTACTCGCGCCCAGGTTAGTGACCGCAGAATCCCTTAAACCTTCCGTAAATAATAATACACGGTCACCTTTCTCAAACTTGCTCATGTTCTTTCTGCCATGTTTGTCAGCGTTCTCCTTCTGTTGGTCTACCGCAGATTGTAGTGTGTCGCGTACAAACCGGGTGATGGCTTGACGTTGGAGTATAAATTCCGACACAGCCATGTCATCAATTGGTCGCGCCGACTCAATCGGCGCGTAGTTGGCAGTAGGTGAACGCTTACCCGAAGATGGGTCAATCAATGTCTGCGCAGTCCATCGAGCTAATGGGGACACCACGTCTGATGGCGTCAAAGTGGCCGTCTTTGCTTTGGATCGGGTTACTGCATTCGCACTCAAAATACCGTGAGCTGCACTCGATCATTGTTTATCACCTTTATCCCCCCCAGAGTGGAGCCACTAGGTGTTGTGGGTCGCCCCACGGCCAGGACAGTAGGAACACGAGGGTGACGAGCCGATTTCACAAAAAATGGCGTGAGCCCTGTTGACGCGTGTACGGCGTTGTTGAAAGCGAACTCAGCGAGTGGTAACAATGCACTCCAACTTGTGAATGACGTAGCATAACTTCGAAGAACGTCTTCGAGGACTCGGTTCACGCGCCCATCCGTTTTCTGGATGGACCGCAGTCGACATCAGCAGTTTTGTCCCGAGGAGCTCGAAAAGTGACGTCCAAAATGCGGACGTGAATCGCAGATCACGGTCCGAAACAATATTTTCTGGAAGGCCATGATGACGGAACACCGCGTCGATGAAGTGCGCCGCGGTCTCTGCCGCGGTGACCTTAGCGTAAACAGGCACGAGATGTGTCATCTTGCTGAATCTGTCAACAAAGACCAAGATGCCCGTGCGAACTTGGCTATCGGGCGCAAGCCTGAAGATGAAGTCCATCGAAACTGATTTGCATGCCTCTGCTGCAATTGGCAACGATCGCAAGGGAGCCTGTGTCGATGGAGATGGCTTCACACGCTGGCATATTTCGCACGTTCGGATCCATTTGCGTACCCCCTTATACATGTGGGGCCAGAAGAAGTCTCGAGACACAGCCGCGAAAGTCTTTTTCGCGACCTAAATGGCCGCCAGCAGAAGCATCGTGATATTCGTGAATGATTCTTGCACGCAAATCCATGTCATTGGCAATCACCGTGCGAGGAGGATCGAATTGGTCGATGCTATACAGAAGCAAATCGCCATCTAAACTGTATCCATGAATGTGGTCGCGCTTGGTTCGTGATAGAGCTACCAGTGCGACATCGCTGGGAGCACGCAGATACTCGATAACGTCTGCATAATCTGAATCGCCCTTGTTACGCTGCGACGATCTCATCAAATAAAGACGGCTCGGGTGTAACCCGAGTTAGGTTCAGCGATACACACATCGCACATCGGTCATCATCGTCCTCCTCATCAGTAGCCTGACGACTCAGAGCAGCCCGAGGATGGTATTCGGGACGTCGTGACAGAGCGTCAGCGAGAATATTAGTCTTGCATGGCTTGTAATGCACGACGAACTTGTACTCAGAGAAGAATGAGAGCCATCGTGCCATCCGTTGGGACAGGTGTGGGCTCTTCATCGCTGTGCGCAGCGATGCATGATCGGTGTACAGAGCAATTGTACGTTCACCAATTAGATGCACGCGAAACTTGATGAGTGCATAGCGCATCGCTAATAACTTCTTGTCGTGAACCGGATAGTTCTTCTCAGATGGCTTCATCTGTCGTGACTGATAACTCACGACTCGTTTACGGCCCTCATCATCAAATTGCATGAGGGCACAACCGATTGCAAAATCACTGGCGTCGCAAACCACGTGGAACGGCTTGGAATCGTCTGGTAGGACCAGGACTGGCGCTGACGCTAGGCTCTTCTTTACTGCTTCGAAGGCTACTTTATGCTCGGGACGCCACAACCACGTGGCGTCTTTCTTCAAGAGTGACGACAAAGGCTGGATAGAACCAGCATAATCCTTCGTATACTTGTGTAAATAATTAGCCAAGCCGAGCCACTGGCGCAACTCCGTAGGGTTCTTGGGCGTGGGCCAAGAACAGATGGACGACACCTTCTCTGGATCAGCTCGAACTCCCGATTTACTCACATAGCAACCTAACACCGTAATCTACGGTGCACAAAAGACACACTTCTTGAGATTCGCGTACAACTTGTTGTCCCCCACAGGCCACTCTTTACAACCTCAAAGTGTCAATAAAAAAGCACTTTTTTCGACAACCACCAACGTAACGATTAAACGACTAAAAAAACAATCTAACGAAATAAAACCAAATAAAACCAATGGCCCAAGAACTCCACCAACCAGTCGAATCAAATGCTACCGCTCAGGATGAAAATTGGAAAGCTTCTCTTATAAAACCGGTAAAAGATACACGTATACAAACTGAAGATGTGACAAATGTCAAGGGGAATGAATTTGAAGATTATTTTTTAAAACGAGAACTTTTAATGGGTATTTTTGAAAAAGGATTTGAACGTCCGTCTCCTATTCAAGAAGAAGCAGTGCCAATTATTCTCGCAGGACGAAATGTCATGGCTCGTGCCAAAAATGGAACCGGTAAAACCGCTGCTTTTATTATTCCGTGTCTTGAAAAAACCGACACTAGTAAAAAGCATATTCAAGTACTGATTTTAGTTCCAACACGGGAATTGGCACTTCAGACCTCAGCTATTGTGAAAGAGATTGGAAAACATATGGGGATTGAATGTATGGTCTCAACGGGTGGTACTAGTCTAAAGGACGATATCATGCGTCTTTATCAGACAGTCCATATTCTAGTTGGTACACCTGGTCGAGTCATGGATTTGGCAAATAAAGGAGTCGCTGATTTGAGTCAATGCACTACTGTTATTATGGATGAAGCAGATAAATTATTGTCTCCGGAATTTCAGCCCTTGCTGGAGCAATTAATTAATCATACGGCCAAGCAACGACAGATTTGTCTCTTTTCAGCCACGTTTCCAGTCACGGTCAAGGCATTTAAAGATCGATTCGTTGAGAATCCATACGAAATTCATCTCATGGACGAATTGACATTAAAAGGTGTGTGCCCGGCGCTTGTTGCGATCATTGAGCCACTGTTTACACCTCGGGCTGGATACCCGATTCCACGTGCCCTTTTCGGAGTGTCCCCCGTGACGCCCGACGTCTCGAGCCAGCAGATTGAGCCAGCGAGGCGAAGAATGACGAAGTCCTGGTAGAAGCACTCCAGACATCTTACCAATCCTTAATGTTTGAAATAGACGGTCTGTTCTTCTCACATTAAAAGGTGTGTCTCAGTTTTATGCTTTTGTTGAAGAGCGGCAAAAAGTACACTGCCTGAATACGCTGTTTTCGAAGCTTGATATTAATCAGTCCATTATCTTTTGCAACTCGGTGAACCGTGTCGAGCTGCTAGCAAAAAAAGTGACGGAACTGGGATTTTCGTGCTTTTATATCCATGCCAAGATGAATCAGGCCCACCGTAACCGCGTGTTCCATGAGTTTCGTAATGGTGCTACACGGCACTTGGTCTGCTCAGACTTGTTCACGCGCGGTATCGATATTCAAACGGTGAATGTCGTGATTAACTTTGATTTCCCAAAGAACTCGGAGACGTATTTGCACCGTATCGGTCGCTCCGGGCGGTACGGCCACCTTGGTCTGGCCATCAATATGATCACGTACGAAGACCGATTCAACCTGTACCGAATTAAGCAGGAGCTCGGCACGGAGATTCGACCCATTCCGCCAGTCATTGATCGTAACTTGTACTGCAAGTAAGCAGCACTCGATGTGACACCAATGCTGTGGAGAAGATTGACTCAGAGGAAAGCAAAGGCCTTGGAAAGAGAGGTATGAGGTGAGAGCTAGTGTGGAGGTGGGAGCTAGTGTGGAGGGGAGAGCAAGTGTGGAGGCGAGAGGAAACGTGGGGGCGAGAGGAAGTGTGAAGGCGAGAGGGAGTGTGGAGGCGAGAGGAAGTGTGGGGGCGATAGGAAGTGGGGGGGCCAGAGGAAGTGTGGAGGCGATAGGAAGTGTGGAGGTGAGAGCAAGTATGGAGGTGAGAGGAAGTGTGGAGATGAGAATGAAGAATGGGGGGTGGTGAGGGAGGTGAGGCTGAAGGAGGATGGAAGTTGGAAGGCGGAATGGTGCGATGAGCGAGAGGAGTCAAGCAAGCTTTTGCTTGACGGGTGTGGCTGTTATGATCTATTCGCACGATGAAACAGAGATGAATGCAGCAGTAACATTAACTGATTTGGCTTCGTGTCAATGAATGCCGGGTTGGAGGTGTGACCTACTTTGTTGGTCAATCGAAGAAAGGAAGCTGGTTGGGAGCACTAGAGGCCATATTTGCCGAGGAAACGAGTGAGCAAGCACGAAGTGCTATGTGCGACTAAGAAATAAGGTTGCTGAGATGAAGACGACGTCTAGTTGCGTTGAGTTTTGGTAAGAGCAGGACGGCAGCTGAGATGGTGGTGTGCCCATAGAAGATGAAGATGGCAGACAGTAGCATGTATTGACGTGGCATTGAGCAGAAATGCTGCTTGCTTGCTGAAGGAGAAGAGCAAAGGTAGCAGCTTGAACCTTTTGGTCAACTGAGATCGTAGGGAACAGATAGTGGAGCCAAGTGACATGGATCGATCTAGTAATGCCGTCATCAAGCTATGATGAACGACCCATGACAGGCTGGCTGTCAGACTTTAACTCATAATGTAGCTGGAAGGCTCGTTTGTGGCCGATCTGATCGGGTCGTGCCTTTGTTATTATTCGAACGTCCGAGAAGCCGCAGCTTCAATTGCTGCAGTGCCATTACAGAGAGAGAAGAACAGACCGTCTATTTTAAACATTAAGGATTGGTAAGATGTCTGGAGTGCTTCTACCAGGACTTCGTCATTCTTCGCCTCGCTGGCTCAATCTGCTGGCTCGAGACGTCGGGCGTCACGGGGGACACTCCGAAAAGGGCACGTGGAATCGGGTATCCAGCCCGAGGTGTAAACAGTGGCTCAATGATCGCAACAAGCGCCGGGCACCACACCGATCAGTCCCGATCGACCGCTGATGCACCTGGACGGGGCCGATCAATTCACGTTCTTGGCAAGTTCACTTCGTGGGACCGAGATTCGCGCTCGGCGATCGAATCGGCGGCTTGAAGGCTGACGTAGAATAGCAGGAACTATTGGGGAAAGAGGGAATGATAACCGCGGTCATCGATCCTCTCCCCCCGGGGGTAACAGGGTTGGTGCTCCCCTTACGGTTCGCACGCTGCGCTTGCCCCCCATAGCGCACGCAGCAGAGGGAAAACCTCCCCCCTCTTATCCTGGGCCTCCCGTTGGAGGGACTTCCCGCCCTGGTCGGAGGGGGCCGGTTGACCGGCTCTTTGGAGGTCTTCGTCTCTTGGCCGTTGTTGCTCGAAGGCGCGAATTGGGAAGTGAGTGCCTTTACAGAGAACGGCTAATGATTTTAAGCACATGGAGGATGCTTGCCCTGGCTCAGGATGAGATACATGACGACTGGAGCTCTGAAAGCCATACACGTGAGAGTTGGAAATGCCACGACTCTGCGACCAGATGTCCCCATCCTAGTATTCGATCCGTCGGAGGTGACGATGACGACTGTCGTTCCATTAGACATGACGTCTAGGCTGATTGCTCTGGTCGCGCAACGCGACACTAAATGTCACTGACGTCCAGCAGGCGACGCGTATCACTAACATGTTCATGTAGACTGTGTTGTACACGCATCTGAGGCTCCTCGACACTTGCAAATGATGTGCGCCAAATTCCTCTCAGCTACTATTTAAATACGTGACCTGCTTCGATCTACTCTCCGATCGATGCCAGCGATAAATACCTCTCTGTCTCTCTCTTGTCTCTCTGTCGCTCTCCTTCAAAACTCCACCTCGGCAAACACACGGCGTCGGGACGCCACAGGCACGACCATGCCAAACTTAGTTACGGGTGGGATAGTCCACTCGCGCATACCACACATCTTTTGTGTCTTGACTGGTTGATCACTCCCGCTACGTGTAGGAAACAAACTACTGCGTTGTTTCTCGCCATCTTCAGGACGCATCTCTTCAAAAGAGCGTTTAAGTCCGTCCTTGATACTGTAGATAGCTTCACTCTTCCCTTGAGTCTTGCTAGTAACCGGCTCCTGCAGAAATTCCCGCACGACTTGCACAAGTTCACGCCCCATTGTGCATGAACCACAGTGCAGTAGATTGCGTTCCATCAAGAGCGCAGACACACGCGCAACAAGGAACCGTAGCAACACATTAAGAGTGTTCATGGTCTCTTTCTCCTGTGCACGGAGGTCGCAAATGATCTCTCGGAACGCGTACTGGTCCACGATTCTTGTCACCCACTTGGTCAATCGACTCGACTTGTTCTCCTCGGTCTTGACCTCGTCTTCACCATTGCAATGACGTCCTTTCCCGAGATTTTCCAGTGCTTTCCAGAGTGCATCAAACTCGTCCATTGTCTTGTAGACGAAATAGACGCTCACTGAAGCAGCAAGTCGCACTTGAACTGCAAATTTCTCGTCTTTACCGCCAATACAGGACGTAACCGTTGCTTCTATGCCACGTATATTCATTCTTCCAAGTCGTTTGTGTGTCCTATAAATTTTCTTGAGAACTGCTTGCTATAAAAACTTGCAATCCGAGACACGACACCTCGATGGCACTTTACCGACTGAGAAATATCACTTCGATCGAGTTGAAGCAGACTGCCAAGTGTTAGAGAGCTTGAGGGCAAAAAGGACCGACCAAACGCACTGGCCACAGCCAGGGGGGAGGACAAAGGACCGTCTTCGTCTTCTCGATCACTGGAAGTGAGCTTTTGGCAAGTGCCTGCTTGATTGTGTGAGATACTGGCGCTAGCAGCTTCAGCGCAACTTCTTAGCTTCATAGTTGAGTTGTTTCTTGCCGTCGCGTTTGAATATTGACAGTCCTGCACTCCATCGAGATCTGATCGGCTTGTGATGATTGCTGCTATCATGGCTGGTCATGACTCACAACCAAGTGTATCAAACCATGTATGGATTGCATCCAACAAAGCTCATGTGTGGAACAAGATTCCTTCTTCACATAGTGATGTGTACCATGCCAGTCAATCCATACAGTCGCGAAGAGGTGGACACGGATTCCGACACTTCTGAACCATGATTGCGTCCGTGTATAACCGTGTCTTGACAACGCTGATGACATGCTGAAACAGCTGCTCGTCGCACGTCACCTGGGCACACCCGAAGAAACGTACGTAATGAATGGGCTATCCATGAAGTACCGTGGGAGGTGTGTTCATGGGCTCGACAAGTCATGCAATGATCAAGATGACTTCATGTGATCCGCACACCAGCAGCTTTAGCTGCTGTCTATGACATCTTTCCATGCAGTACTCTTCCGCTTAGCTGCGATATCGGCATACTGTTGGAGCCTCGCAAGCTTCTGCGTATGGATGGCTTCAGCGCAATCTGTCCCGTTTCTCGTGGTTGCAGCTCCCGTTTCTGCAGCTCGGCATGACATGGAACGCCAGTGCCGCTGAGCTGTCGCGTCATTGTAAGCTCATTAACACATCTGGAAGATCGAAATGGACGCTGCGACGGCGAAGCTCAGCGTAGAAACCATGGGACAATTGGAAAGGCGAGGTGGTGCCTCAAGCACATCAGGTGATGAGGCACTGCTCAACTGCAAGAACAGCCATTAGGACAGCTCTTGGATGGACTTGACATCAGTATATGGCGCTATAAACGGACTGCGGGACGATCGCCTTGATGGCACCATCAATCCATCTATTACGTTCGTCACGCCCGTTCTCTACAGACGCTGCTAGGAGGCTATCGGTGTCATTTAAACGGCACCGGGCGTCCGTCAGATGAGGATGTCTTGACAAAGTGCAGGTCACCTCGACCCAGAAGCTTTCTCTTTTCGGGAAGATGCATATTACTCACTTGACCAGCTCAGCTCAGCTCAGCTCAGCTCAGCTCTCTCTTGCCCTTGCAACTTCATTCCATGTGCCTTCAGAGATCAATGGCAAGATCAGCTTCTCGTCCATATCGCAATGGAGATCATTTACTTGTTGTGCAAATGGTCAAAGTAGATCATAGACGAAGAACGCACTGACGTGGAAGTGAATATTGCTCCGAGCTGCTAGTCCATTTCAACCCATGCCTGATCGATGTATACTCCAAAGCACGTGGTATTCAATATCGTCTAGTTGTAATACTTCCTTCACTTTAAAGCTAACGGACATACTGCATTCGTTGGCTGTAGGTTATACACGGCACGTTGCAGTGAGAAGATGTGATGAGCGGTGAGCATATTAAGGTCTGGTGCATCAAGATTTCCGCTTCAAAACGTCTCAGAAACGGAGTTGTTGCGCTTGCGTAATGCTGGTAAAGGTTGCTCAGGACCTCCGGCCATGCCTTCGGAGACCTCCGCACGAATCGTTTCGTAAAAGCGCTTGAACTGAAAAGTATCCACCTGCTTGACAGACAAACAATTCATCAATACCCATTACATCCAAAAGATAGTACACAGAGGAATGATCGTACTTGGCTGCGTCGGAACTCGACGAGATACACACCGCGCTGGAAGAGAAAGACCTGCACAGTACAGGTCAAGAGACCAGCATACCGCACTTCGAGCTGGTAATTGTCCCAGTCCATAGTCACATCCTGCGGGACTTTGGCACACTCGTACGGAAGCGGACATGGATGAACCTTCAAAGCGTTCTCAACATTGGAAAGCACCAATCGTGCCGGTAGAGCTGTAAGGAACCGTGTCGAGCGAGGCACGACGTCATTATAAGATGGAGGAGGGGCCAAACAAATCGCCTGCAGATTCTCCGGAGTAGCATTGCTCGTAGCGTCTGGTCCCGAGTTTGCTATGACTGCTAGTGGCTCTGTCAACGTGCGATCAATTGGAAAGCCAAGCTTATCATCGGCGGCCAAAACTGATTGCGGCACAAGCGGAGGAGAGCGACCGAGGATGTTGGAAGAAACTCCAGCCTCGAAGACACTGAAGTTTCCTCCAATATCTCCGTTTGTGAGGTCCCTAAATCGTCCGCGAGCAAATCCACGCAGGAACAGTTCCGGGGGCGAGTTGCGTCGGAATCGTATCGGCATTGTGTCCCGAGATCCAGTCACAAGCGGAGGTGACACAAATCGGTGTCGGTGTTGAAAAGTAGCTTGCTGCAATGTTAAATCAGCACGCCCGACTACGTTGTCACTGTCACCACTATCGCCAGCTTCTCTTGTAGCCTTACTCGGGGAGAAGGATGGCATAGTAGCTTCACGGTCAAGCGGCTCCTGCTTGAAGACCGTCTGAGTACCAGTAAGCTTGCAAGCATTTAACTCATTTGTCAAAGCCGTCATCGAAGCATCGCCTTCATCTTCCAATTCGATATTGTTGTTGTTCTTTCGATCACGAGGAGAACTTAAAGGGGTTTGACCAGACATGGACAAAGTCTCGTCCACTGGCGGCATGTAGCCGACTACGCCTGCAAGGTGCTTGTTTACACAAAGACCTTGCTGTGGTGATGGCGGACAGCGATACGCATGATTGTGAGGGCTGGGCGATTTAGCAAGTAGTCTGGTGATGGCTTGCGGTGGTACAGAACCTAGTTGGCTGGCGTGCATTTGCTGACCCAATTCAATGTCATCCTGCAGGGTGTTAATCGTCACGTTCATACAACTCTTGTAAGATAAATGAGGCAATTGTGGTGGTGACTCGGGTGTACTGAGAGGTGCGCTATTCCTCAGCGACTGGTCATCGTCCAATGTTAACGAACTTGACATTTTTAGCTTCTCGCCACGTACCCACACATGATGCTGGGTTTCCTCCACCGATAGACGCATGCATGCATCTGGGTACAGTAACTGCGCAATCAGAGATTTTAGTTCTAGCGTGAAACGCGTTGGAAAAAACCAAGACGGGAACTCAACTACGTCCGTCGGGTCGTCATCGCTGTATTTGGTATTGTACGACCACTTGCGGAAACGATCATAGCGAACACACTTGAGTAAGTCCTTTCCAAATGGCAAACTACCCGCGATCATTGCATACAAAATTACACCAATCGACCAAGCATCGGCCTTTGCCCCATCGTACCCCTTGCCAGTGTCCATAAGAACTTCAGGTGCTACATAGTGAGGAGAGCCAACGACCGAACGTAACCTACGTATAGCTGGTTGATCAACTCCGTTTCTGTTGGCACCGTTGTTCGCGTTATTATCTGTAAAGGCAAAAATTGCCGATAGCCCAAAGTCTGCAATCTTTAACGTCGAGTGCTCCTCATTGTCAGCGAGAAGCAAATTCTCGGGCTTGAGGTCACGATGACAAATGCCTGAGTTGTGGCAAAATGCTACGCCAGAAATGAGCTGACGAAAGTACAAGCGTGCACTTTCTTCATCTGTACCACAATCAAGCTTGATCCGGTCAAATAATTCACCGCCTCCAGCCAATTCAAGAACCAAAAAAGTGGTGCATTTACTATCTTGTACGAGTTCCAGTGCTTCATCGAGACGCAAGACATTTTCATGGTACTCCAACCCCGCCATATTCGATATCTCACGATGAATCAATCGTCGAGTTTGTGCAAACTTGATAAACTTCAGTGGAATGCAAGGAATCTTGATCATTTGGTTCTTTACTTGAACTTCCTGATACAATTCAGCTAGGTCTGTTAATTGTCCGTCCGTATTGCTTTCACATTGACTCAGGAGTTCACCCCACACTTGAATACATTGAGGCAGTGTAAGTTCTCGAACATGTCCTGTAAATGGATCTTCAACAGCTGCAATAGCTTGTTTCGACGTCGAGTGAATCAACCACCACACATTTTCCACACAAATCCGTCCCATTGTCATTTTTCTTGATCCAGCATTTGATCGTGAAGCATAAAATCGTCGATTACTTTTCCTGTCATTATCAGCTTGACAGTCCACCTCGTTTCGAGGCAAAGTTATGACGGGTTTGCCCTTTACAGCAACGAGACATCGAGCCAATAGTGTACTTGGACATAATTTGTAGCCAACAGGATTTAATATCTTGATGGCTACATGCTGTTTTGTTCGTGTGGAAAACGCTTCGTACACTCTAGTACCACACAAAAAAACGACAAAACAATCACAAATTTAAACACTTTGTATCGAAAAACGTTCGAAAAGGTAAAAAACGTTCCGAAATGCTTGCAACATTTCGACTTACACGCCAGCTGCACCACCTCCGAGATATCCTCCAAGCTCATAGATAAGGTCATTATGACTGTAAATGGCTTGGCCATCGTAGTGATCAACTTGTACAGTTTCTAACTTGCATCGCCATTCGTTCATCATAATGAACGGCGGATTATGAGGAGTCTTAAAGACCTACCGAGACTTCTTGCAGTGGAATCAGATGTAAAGTCAATGGACTAATAAGAAGCAGCTGCTAACAGGGAAAGGGATGATGGACACACGCACTTTACAGCGTTCAAAGACGTGACGTTTAAATGCAGATGGACGCACGGGTGAGGGAAGAAATAAAGCGTGCAGACAGCCCGTGGACAGTCCTTTGCTGCTGCATAGGCAGCAAGACTTAAATGAAGCCATAATCAGATCGTGGAGTTGATGTTTTGACCAATGATATCATGTTATTTAGTATTTTAACGAATCATAAGACAGCACTGACTATTTTTGGATTGTAACGGATAAGACGGACGGAATGAAGTCATCTGGACGCCAGATTACACAAGGTTGCTCGAAGGGAAACCACGACATGTCATTGGCCAAGCGAATACTGACGCAAGTTGCTTCATAGTTCAACCCATAAATTGGAATAATAATGAGATACCTAGGGGTTGAAGTTAGCTAACAATAATTGTGATTGGCTCACAAACACAAATTGACCTACCCCCGTAACAGCCCCTACATTGTGGTGTGTGTCACTCCAAGTATCCATTTGACCCATTTCCGTCATTTAAGTCATGACCAACGCTCTGCTGGGTGGTATCACACTAACGAATGCCCAAAATGAGTCCATTTCAGGCGAGACACTGGGTCAGAATGACAAAGTCTTGGCGCTTTACTTCGCTGCCGACTGGTGTCCCGATTGCCGCGCTTTTCAGCCAATACTCAACCGGTTTTACGAGACTACGTGCAATGGTTTGGACTTGGTATTTGTAGGCTCAGATGCTTCGGCAAAGGACCAGCTTGCGCACTTTAAGGACAAGCAGGGCCCCTGGTGGATGGTGCCTTTTGATGGTAAGACACGTACGCAGCTTAAGCGTAGGTACGGCATATGTGCTGCTGCAGAGGTGACCGAGCTGAGCCCTATCATACGTAAGGGCGGCATTCCCACACTTGTGGTGATTCGTCACAATGGAGAGGTTGTGGACTTTTATGCAGCCGACAAGATTGAGCGTGAAGGTGTCAAGGTTCTTGCAGAATGGCAGCAGTAAATGTACTGTAGTGTAAGAAGGGATGCAACGGATTGAATGGCTAGACCGGACTGCTCATTCTGTACTTTGCTGGCATTGATTTTCCACTTTAACAAGCCAACGCGTCCTCGGACTGCGTTCGAGCCAAAGGTTAGTTGCGTTTATACCGATGCGAATGCATCGACGGTCCTTAATTCCGACGTCGAGGACGTTAGGATCAACATGTTGTCAAAGTAGCACGCCAAAGCCGAGCACTATCCTCACACCGAGCTTCTAGCTCTTGACTCTTCAACAAGAACAGCAGACAAAAGCACAAACGATGCTTTGCTTTTCTTTCAATATAAACTGGACAGGACTTCAGCATAAAGAACATATAAAAACAAAGAGTCCATTCATCCCATGGCCGTTGATGTCACGTCGTCCGTTTCTTTTGCCCTAGGCAGTTGCGGACACGATAACACTCGTTGCTTCGGCATACAGGAAATTACCCAATTCTTCAAATGTATCCGGGCTAATACGATTCTGCTCCATTGCTACAATCATTTCATTGTATAATGCATTGCCCAATGCTGCAAACATATCAGCTGTAAACCCTTGAGGCATGATATTGTCGTCATTAGTGTCCACCGTCGACAATGTCTGCAGGTCACGCATGATCACACCAGAAGGCAGTTTCATCTCCTGCAACAGTGACCGCAGTCCGTCATCATGTCTGCATCGTCGTCGTTGAGTCTTTTTCTCCTCTCCTAGTTTTGTTACGGCAGTTTGAACTCTCTCACACTCGCTGTCATCTGATACCTCATCCGTAGCAGCTTCAAGCTCCCGGAAGAGTCCGTAGAGCGTCTTCAATCGCGCCCAGGCGTGTGCAGCATTGCGCTGCTCGTCCAAAGACAGTTCGGCTATGTGACTTTTCTTTGCCTTTGCTGCTTCTTCCGCAACGATCAAATGCACACCAGAGACGTCTTCCGGACGTTTACGTAAAAAGTTACGGATGGATTCATCGTCACGTAGACTCGTGTATGCGACACTAGGACTCGAGGGGTAGTCTTCTTCGTCACTGGATGATCCACCGCCGCCGTTATCGTGGCCAGTGGGCGCCGGTAGATGCAATCGAGTACGCTGAATCGCCCGGCGCAACATTATAGCTGCCTTAGCAGCGGTTCTAATTATGCGTCTTCATTTTTCTATGAGAATTTGAATAGGGAGGTCGATGAAGATGCGCTATTATAAGGTTACGTATTCTCGGTCTTTTCGCTTTACCAGTATCCTTAACAGGTCCAGTTAAAGTTCAAAATAACGTGATGCTAGCATACACAAATATGCACGCCATAGCCTAAAGCTGTACTTATTCTCAGAGCGGGGATAACCACGCTACATTACTAGATACTGGGTTATGGCCCTGACGGCGACATCGCATTAGATACCTCTACACATGGTAATGAAGTTCACCTTGCTCACAGAGCAGAGACGGTGGTGGCCGGTGCACCGACGGACCCATACGATGAGCTTCGTAAATAAGGGTATGTCGAGCTGAGTCGACAGATTAAACTGACGCACGAGGTGACGCAAGTGCCCTCAAATTACATGTGGCTGGATTCCGGACGGCAAAAGCAAGTCAACATGAACGAACGGGATGTATACGCACCTTATGCGGATGGTATAGCGTGTAACCTAGACCCTTTTTGACCGACCGTCTCCGATAAAGCGCGAGCGCTACTTGTCTTATAGACTCGATCCTTAGATCGCCTCGCAACTTACCGGTAGAAATTGCATGTGTAGGTAGGTTTCAGTCAGGAGAAAGCTTTAGGTATGCGTACGCATAGATGACAATTATATCTCGTTTCCCTCCATATCTACCAACTTTCTTTGCAACAGACTGCTTCGAATCGCCTCAGCTCACAATACCGTCCTGAACAGCATCGTTGTAAATTCTCGCTGGGTAATCGCCACAGCGCGCCGCCATACGCGGTGACTGGTGACTAATTCTGCAAATGGTGCCAATTTGTGCAAATTACTGGATGCAGCATTTTGTCATTAAGAGTTTGGAGACATACGCACAGCAAGCCTATCATGGAAGACATAAGGGAAAGGATGCGCAGCTGATGGCTATATCGTACGCAAATGCTGGCACAGGCGGGCGACAATATTGGATCGCCTTCAATGTAAAGGCTGTACTCCTGCTGTCCAATAACTTCAAAGCCGTTGTTCAAACGATACGAGGACGGTTCCGTCTTGGGAAAGGACATGGTCGACCATTTCCTGACACAACGCAGAGAGAAGATGCCGGTTGCTGTGTAACAGCAACAACTCGCTCGAGGAGGTGTTTGTTCGCACCGTTCGCTGGTTTCTCAATCTTACTGATTGTAGAGGACAAGTGACTGTCCTGCCAGAGCAATAGAATCTGCATCCTCCCAGCGTTATTACTGGTCTTTCTCGGCATCAGAGCCGTTTCAAAATACACTAGTGGCTCTTGTTAAAGCCGTTTTGTGTTTGGTATTCCAGGACCGTTTTACTGCGCCAGGCGACTTGGTGGCCAGAAAATGACTCGACCAGACTATGCTGCTGGTTCAGCAGCATTGATCTATAAAGCTACATGAATAAGGTGCATTATCGAGTGCCTTACTGAAGCCATGTGGAACTTGCCTTTTTTTGCGCCTTTTTGCTCGGTCTCTAATCAGTTTTAATCTTGTAATTGAACTAGAACAATGAAGTGGACCACCTTTTTTCGTCATTTGTTACCCATTTTTAAAGAAGAAAAAAATACCGTAACGTAAAAGCTGAAGCCTCTAGCCATTCGACGATTAGCTCACGTTCCTTGCGCGTTCTGTCGCCTCTTACACTCTCTCTCTTCCTCGTCGTCCTTTACGATCTCACAAGCTTTATCATCATCCTGGATACCTCACTAAGTATTTCTTTATACTCACGATAATGGATCAGAATCTTGGAAATTCCGAGGCTGTTCACTTAGCACAGGCATCGGACTGGAAGGGATTACAACGGCTATTAGAACGAGATCCATCGATGGCTAAGCAACGTGGTGATCACGGTATGCTGCCTATCCATTGGGCTTGTACTGTACGTCGTGTACCATTGTCCCTTCTTGCAAAACTACTATAAGCATATCCGGAAGGAGTTCAAGTTAAAAATGAAGGGGCATTACTGCCACTTCATATTGCTATTCGAGCACGTGTACAAGCTTCATGTCTTCGAAAACTTGTACGTGCTTATCCGGAAGCTGTGAGTGAACGGACACCGGATGGTGTCTCGGCTCTGAAAATGGCACAAGACATTGGACTGGATGTAGATAGTTTAAAGGTGCTTTATCGAGCGCACGAACGGACGAGTCTTATTCAGCAACATATTAGTGGAGATAGCAGCTCATATGATCGACGGAATGTCGAGTTTGATTCGAAACGAGGGATGAGTGAACAGGAAAAAGGTGAAGCTTCTTGGATCAAAAGACCGGAAGATGAAGACAATGAGTGGACTGATACTATTGTACCGGAGCCTTTCGTGGGAAATACTGACTTTGGCGGGTTTCTTTATGTCGGTGATGATGGGGAGCTAGACGGGGTTGAAAAGTCAGCTTTGGAGCCAGAAGATAGCATCAGTATGATGAGTGAACAGTCCCTGCTGAGCGACATTGACGGACTTGACACGCCACATGACCATCTTGTGTCGCCATTTTCGACTAGCATTGGCAGCCAAGATGACGTCAGAACTCCAAGCTCTGGGTTGTCATTTAGCACTGCCCGACTTCACTCCGGCAGTCGTCGCAGATTACTTGAGGATCAGAACCACCATAAATCTCAATTGAAGCAGAAACGTATGCAAGACACGGCATCGTTGCTTGCCCAGCTACAAAAAAATGGTGTCGTCTCTGAGTGTGAGCTGCGAACGATGATGTCAGCGATGAGTGCCGATGCTGCTGTGGGAAGAAACGAAGAAGACGCACCGAGCCGGATCCACAGTCGTCACCTGTCGCTACCCCTCATGCCTAGCTACGAAAACTTCCAACAGAATTTAAGCTTCCAATTCTACAATGAGGCGAATGACGAGGCTGAATACGGCGGTAATGACAGCATTGAACGAGGTGCGACAGGTCCTCAAGTCGGTCCAAAAGACCAGCTTTTTCATTCAGCACGAGGACTCTCTCGGCGATCAGCTACACGTAGCGGGTCACAAAGAGGCTCGCCGCCATTGTTTCGAAGGTCACATCGTCGGGCGTCACACGGATCAAATGACCGAGACCATTTTGACCTTGCACCTGAGTGGAAGCATGACGGCGAATGCTCGATCTGCCGTGCCAGTTTCGGTATGTTCAAGCACCGCCACCACTGTCGCAATTGCGGCAAATCTATCTGCAGCCAGCACAGTGCGGACAAGAAAATCTCGATCGAAGATAAGGGGTTTACTACCCCGCAACGTGTGTGTGTCACGTGCTACGCCATGATCACTCATAGTCGATCGCTTAAGCATGACCTTGAGCTTGAAGACAATGGCCGTGACAGTTCATTGCTCAACCCCATTGCCTTCCAGCAGCACTGTGCGTTCACTTCAGGAGCTGGTGCTAGTGATCGTTATGGTGCTGATGATGCTTCTTTTCCATCTTTGACTGCCCCGTTGCCCAATCGAAACATTGCTCTTGGAGGGTCGCGAAGCTTCACCATCAGCGATCGGAGTCTTAGTGCTTCGCCTACATTTGGACGTAACGGAAAGTCTCGAAATCAAGGTGTCCTAGCTGCAAGTGAATCAACTGAAGGAGCTGGGGATCGCAGTACCACAAATTATACGTCAAGACTGAGCGGGGCACCGTCCTCAGCTGTGCACGAGCTGCGTAGTTTACTGGCTTCACAGCAAAAGCAGATTGAGCAGCTTGCTCAAAGCAACATGCAGATGCAACAGCAGCTTCTCGAGCAAGAAGAGTTAAAAGCTGAGACGATGCTGCTTATTACTCAACTGATGACACGCGTTTCAGTGCTAGAACTGCAACAAGATCGAAGTTTCCGAGACAACAAACGCCAAAGTGTTGGAACTGGAGACAGCGAGGATGAGGACGAGGAGTTTCCTCAAGATGACATCAGCCCGTGTAAGCGGTAGCCATTCGTTATCTTTCCAGCACCAACAAGACAATGAGATGAATTAAAAATTGGTACATGATACACGAGCGAGCCTCCTTTTCAAGTGTGACTTGAGCACTTAATCAACCAAACAATAGCGTTTTTATTTAGAAAATCTTGTAAATTTTCTCATTCCTGCGGTTTACTCCGTGTCTTGTGCATCTGTAAAGTTGCTGCTTTATCCAGCAACTCTACGTATGCGACGAGGTCTTCTCGGGAATATCGGAATGTGCGCTGTCCTTCTTGTTGAAACGCGAGGTGACAGTGTCCATGACGAGGTACACGCCAAAGATAGCGGAAGCCAAGCCCATACCTGTAAAGGGTTTCTTGGCACAGTTGGAGATGAAGGGGTGGCTTCTCCACGCGTCCTGATGAGCAAGAACCATCGCAAGCAGTGGAATCGAGTGAGCTTCTTGACGACCGCAAATTATATTTAATGCAACTTTGCAAGAAGATGTTGCCAATACGTAAAGTTGCACGCTGCTTATATAAACTTCAGTTGTTTTTTAGCAACTCAAGTAATTTCAAAATTGACTACCACAAGACAGAATGACGGTATGACATGCACTTTATCCTTTCTGAAGGATTTACTATCATGTTTCGTATGCCTTTGGACAGGAGAAATCAAATGCTCGGAAAGGAGGATCAGGTGTAGCCAACGTAGCTCGACAGACATGGGATCGTGAGCATTATGAGAAACTCGCGGAGCTTCGTGCGAATGGTCAATTCGAGATTGCACAGGTGAAGGCGTTCTTTGTATTTAATGATTGTAACATTTTATACAGCATTTTCATATGTAATTATTGATACATTTGTATACAGACGAAAAAAGTGATTGCGTCTTCAAAAGAGGAGTTCCAGACTGCTAATGAAGGAGCTGCAGGACCTGCGGGATCAGCACGAGCGTTTCTGAAGGCTCGTTCTGCTAAAGTAGCACTAGAAAATAGTGTGGGCACGATCAAAGTGATCAAATCAGATGAATTAAGTAAACACGGTGGTTATTATTGCGAGGTGTGTGAGTGTGGCCTCAAGGATTCGGTGGCTTATCTGGATCACATCAATGGCAAAAAGCGTACGTTGGTCTTTTACTTTTATAAAGTTTATTTGACTGAAGAGGCAACTTGTTTCGGTATGCTGCTGACTGTGCTACTGTTTTGTGTTGCCAAGATTTGCGCAAGCTTGGCTTTAGTATGCGAGTGGAACGCTCGACAGTGGATCAGGTGAAGAATCGATTGCAGAGCGCATCCAAGCGTAAATATGACTTTATAACGACAAAGAAGCTGGACACGATGGAAGGTACGTTGCTACGTTGCTATTAACGACGGTGTTGTGTCGTCTTGTGAAATCTTGGAAGGATATAAGTCATGCTCATTCTTTTGATATGTGCACATAACAATTCGAACGAATAGATTACGAGAAAAAGTTGAAGGCAATTGAAGAAAACGAGGCTCAAGTGAAGCAGCAGAAAAAAGAGCAGAAGAGAGCCAAGAAATTGGGAAAACAGGTATCGGACCTCGTTACGAAGCACCATAACGTTGTGGAAACCATATCTGATGCTGATGATAAAGTTCCTGATGACACTGAGGCGGAGATGATGGCCATGATGGGTTTTGGTGGGTTTGGTGGCTCGAAAAAGTCGTGAAATTGATCATCTGTTAGATCAGTAGCCAGCACTAACGTAAAAACGAAATGATTGTTTAAACTGTGTTATTATTTGATTAAACATAGATATTACGTATTTAAGGTATTCAATGCTGTCCCAGAAAAATTGTCAAATATGCCTTAGTTGGTATTTGAACATCCTTAAAAGAGGCTGGAATATTAACAGAATAAATACTCGAGCCAATGTCTGGTTTTGACCGTCATGACGCGTCGCTTGCGCCACGTGGACAGCGCTACAGCACACACAACTCTCACCAAGATCATCCTCCTACTTCTACGCTAGTGCTACGTGGTCTTCCACGCACTGTCACTGATAAAATGGTACAAACAACTAGACTCTAAATTTTGTCGTTTAGATCAATTTTAAATTAGAATAGATACAAATATTTAGAACATGATCGAAAACTGGAGTAGAACAGAATGAGTCGAGATATATTACCGAGCTACAGCAACGTGTCAATTACTTACCGTACACATCGTCATTTCTCGTCCAGATTCTCCGTGCTCTACAATCTTTTCAACCATTACAAGCTCGAATCATTTACGATAAGGTACTTGAATTAGAATTCTAAAATCATGTAAAATACAGTTCTAATTTTTATAAATATTCTTATTGATATTGTAGACCACCGGAGAACCTCGTGGACTTGCTTTTGTGGACTTTGATAGTGTGGAAAAAGCAATGGAAGCCATGCGCACATTTGGTACAGTATTTGATTTACTAGTCTCTTTTTCTCTCGCTCTCTATCGCATTTTAACACGTTCTAAATTTTGTGCTTTTGTAGAATTGAGACCTTTGATACTACAGAATCGCCACGTGAACATCAATTATACCGACGGATTTCGTCGAGATGTTGCCTCTTGTCGACCGAGAGACGCAATTGGATGGTTTCGACGTGAAAATCAAAATCAAGGACAGTCCAGGCAAACACGACCAGACTGGATTTGTGATGAGGTTTTTATTGTGTGCTGTGGTTAACTGTTGATTCTTGTGGGCTAATTGCTCTTTTGTGTGTGTTGACAGTGCAATGTAATAAATTTCGCTCGTCGAACAAGCTGTTTCCAGTGCAACGTACCGAAGACAAGTCAAACGAAAGAGATTCCAGCAACGGCAGCATATCGCGCTGATCATAGGCGTAGTCACGACGACTCTCAGTGTGGCGGAGAGACGGGAAACACGGTTCATCTTTGACTGCACCGTCATCTTATGGTGCTCTGTCAAGAGATGGCGAGAAAGCATCTCGAAGATGTGGCCTGGGTCTAGACTCTACCTGGAGCGTTCCTCCATCACATGTACTAGTGGTGCGCATGCTCCCACCCGATATTGAGGAAGGCGAGGTGCGTACGCTTGTGAGCCTGATCATTTTTTTGCTACCACACCTGACTTTATAATGGATTCTACTTGCAGCTTCACGTGGCATTTGCTGAGTTTGATGGTGTACAGGATATTCGTCTGATCCGAGATCGCGCAACCAATCTGTCACGAGGGTTCGCCTTTGTCGAGTTCCGCGACATCGAAGTACGATTCGGTGCTGTAATTTTGCTAGTGCTGACGAAAATTTGTGGTCGTCGTGGCGTTTGTACTACTTGTTATAGACAGCGACGAATGCTCTAAACCGATCTCAAGGCTTAACTGTACAAAACATTCGCGTGGATCTGTCGTACGCGCGCGATACTCTCTCAACGAGATCACACCATTCGGTGGATTCGCTTGAAGGATCGCGCACTAGTAGTTCGATGGCAGTGACAGCATTGGAGCAAGCACAGTGGTTGCTTTCTCTACGTCGCGAGGCTGACACGGCGGCGCAAAATGATCAGGTGAACGCATGTTACATTTTTGTTTGCTGAACTGGACGAGACCCTCGTCCCAGGAGTACGAAATAAGTTTCTAATCTTCAAGGATGTTACCCTGCAACACGCTGCTCAAATACTGCATTGCTCAACTCTTTCTGATTGTGATCTTCAGCAGAACAGCGTTGCAGCAGATGTAAGCGCTTTTTTGGATAGTGCTGCGGCTCAAGTTGCTCCTCTCGTTCAAGAACCGAAGAAAATGTGGCCTGCACCATTCGAGACAGCAGGCGGCAGCTATGTGTATGTCAGCGAGAAAGGCCTATACTGGGATCCAGACAGCATGTTCTACTATGATGCGCCCACCAAGGTTTACCAAAACTCGTTTACAGGCGCGTACTACCGGTGTGTGAACCCTACGAGTAGCGGAGCGGCAGCATTTCAGGTTTTTGTGCCGCCACTACCTGTTGATGATGAAGCATATGAAATTTCTACTGCTCCCAAAGTTAATGTAGCGAGCAAGCCAGCATTGAGCCTATCACTGAAGAAGGACAAGAAGAAGGCTTTGGGCATTTCGCTTGGTGTTAAAACTACTGCTTTTGCGTCGGCTTCGTCGGTTTTTATGAAAACTAGCCCGGTCGGAAACGGTGCCACCGCGCCTTCAGTCAATGCTGTCAATATGGCTAGCATCGGGATGAAGCGCAAGAGTGCAGATGATATCGCGAAGTGGTCACAACGACAGCGTGAAGCAAATGAACCGAAGAGTGAAGAGCTTAGTAAAGCACCTGCTCAACAGCAACTTTTACGCAGTACAGCGGTAGGTGTATCGGCCGTCAGCCGAGGCGAAGCTGCAAAGTCTAGTGCTACCTCGCAGCAAAAGGCGACGACAACTGTTTCGTCGAATACTGTGGATCCTGTTATTGAGGCATTGACTACTGTTCCTGTAGAAGCACCCATTTGTCTGGTAAGCTTAAGATTATTCTTGCGACCCCATGTAGCAGGCTAACGTATGATTATCTTATTTGACACCGATAGCTCTGCCGGCGAAAGTTCGGATCGCTAGACATTCTTCGCAAGCACGAAACATTGTCAAAGTTGCACCTGGCCAACTTAGCGAAGGCTAAAGAGAACAAGCAACACATTGCTGCGCAATATCGTGAACATGAAAAGGAGATGGAGCGAGATGCCAAAAAACAGCGGCAAGATGATTATGCGCCATCAACTTAACCGTTTCGAAACAATCAATGGAGTGCTCCTACGTCGTCGAAACCCGATCCTGCACCTACAGCTAGCTCTCTTGAGTCCGGTATTGGTGGTAAAATGCTCAGGATGATGGGATGGAAGAGCGGCGAGGGTCTTGGCAAACACGGTACTGGCATCACGGCCCCGATTAAAGCAGCTAGTGGTCGGAGCGACTTGGCAGGTCTCGGTTGTAAAGCACCACTTTCGACCTCCATAGACTTCTCGGATGCTACCTGTGATAAAGAACGCCGACAAAAACTAGTTCGTGCGCGGTACGATGCCGACAGTGCGTAGGGCATAAGAGATTCACGAAAGCATACAAGAAAAATTGAATGGCGCACATTGCGTTGTGCTGTGGTTAAAATTGTTGCTGAAAACAAGAGACTGCGATGCTCATGGAGCAGGAGCCTTGATTTGATCTCATGTTAATACATCAGAGCAGCTTCTGCACAGCCTTTTTCAGCAAAGACTTCTTGTAGCCTGAGATCTTCTCGTGGACCTCTTTGCCATCTTTAAAGAAGCGGAACTCCGGGTACGCACCGACCTCAAGCTCATCCTTCAGCTTTTCCACTTCGGGGATTGAAACATCCATTTTCGCAAACGTCACCTCCGGGTGAGCCTCGGCCAGGCTTACCACAGTTGGCTCGATCTGCGCACATTTGCCGCACCACGGAGCCATGAAGTCAGCCACAACAGGCTTACCGCTCTTGATCAGCTCCTGGAACTGAGCTTTGGTTTTCACCAGCGTCAAGATAGCAACATCATCGTCTTCTCCATCGTCGTCCTCACCAACTTCCTTGACCGATGAAAAGTACACGTGGCTCCCCGTCGGGTTGGCATTGATGGTCTTTTCACCGGGCTGCCAGTTGGCAGGGCATACCTCTCCGTGCTCCTCAACAAACTGCAGCGCCTTAATGAGACGCAGAGTCTCATCGACACTACGGCCAATTGGCATATTGTTGATCGTAATCTGTTGCAGCACTCCTTCCTTGTCCATAATGAATAGACCACGGAGAGCCACGCCGTCCTGCTCCACCAGCACGCCGTACTTGGCTGAAATGACTTTAGTAATATCCGAAACAATGGGAATGTCCATCTTCCCCAATCCACCCTTGTTACGAGGCAGACGTGTCCAGGCCAAGTGACTCTCGGGTGAGTCACAGGACGCAGCAATCAGCTGCGTGTTAAGTGCTTTAAATTCCTCTGCTCGGTCATTGAACGCAATGATCTCAGTGGGGCACACGTACGTAAAGTCCTTTGGGTAAAAGAACAGTACCACGTACTGACCACGATACATGTCCAATGACACGTCCGTAATCTCTCCATTCACTACCGCACGGGCAGTAAATGGAGGTGCTTGACACTGCACACGGGCATCAACAGGGGGGTACTGCACAAAAGAATCATCTTCCTCATCTTCAAGAAATAAATCGTTGTCATCATCGGTCGCAAATGAGCGTATGGACGTGAATTGAAGAGATGGACGAGTGAATTGAACGGAATTCAAAACAAAAGGAGCAGCAGCACGAGGCACCACATGCGATCGAAAGGCACGAGCGATCGAAAGGCGACGAATAATGGGCACAACACGCATTTTTAGTATTGGAGACGGTGGTGATTGATATTCGAGAAATGAGTTTCTGACCCTACGTTTAAAATAGATGAAATGAATCACTGGAGGTGAGGATGATAAGTGTCTTTTGAATGTATTTCTCCTCTTATTTTGTTGGACTTTTTGGAGCGAGCTCTTGGTGTCGACGGGTGGACAGTATATGCGCATGACCGTGAAGCTAATACTTTGTGGGCCTGCCTTGCTAGTGCTAGGCTCGAGACAAACATGGCGACTGTCGTGATGGGTCAAGGCGTCATTGGGCGGGCGGCGTCGACTGCAGAACCTTTGTTTGATGGTAGTGTTCTGTGCGTCCCAGTATTTGATCAAAGTCATCAAGTCGATAGTGTCGTTGTATTCTACGGGTCACAAGGGACAAAGCAAGATAACGGCGGAACTTTTAGACAGTGCGATGTGGAACTATGCAATATTGACTGCGGTCACGTTGGAAGCTCGTTACAGCGCCAAGCACTTGAAGATGCGGCAAAAAAGGCGCAAGACAAAGCGCAAGCTTTGCTGGAGCTTTCCGATCTACTGTTTTGTGAACTTGAGCTATCTCCTAAATCAACGGCGATGATTCTGACAGTGGCGCGGGCAATTGTTAAGAAGTCGTGGTTTCATGTTGCGGAGTGTAACGTGTATTTGAGAGATCCGCTAACTTGCGAGCTTTACTCACCAGGCAATGCAACTCAAGGTGATCTCCGTGTTCGTCTATCTCAGGCTAGTAAATGTGCTATGGTTGCAGCACGTACTGGCAACGTGGTGAATGTACGAGATGCAACAGCGGATTCATTTTCGCACGAGCACCACTCGAAAACAGTTTTAGCCGTGCCCGTTAAGGATCCGATTACTGGAGCTGTGCTAGCAGTGCTGGAATTACGAGACAAGCATCTGATCAGCTCACAAGAAGATTCACAAGCTGCATCAGCAGCTACCAGTTTCTGCAAACACTACTTTGATCATAACGACGAAGACCTCGCAAGAGGAATGGCGCGTCAGGTCGCATCTGCATTGCGGAATACCCAGCGTCTCGATGCAGCACGAACAGCTCAGAGAAAAAGCGCTGCTTTGCTCTCTCTGCGCCTTCCTGCGTATACTGGCAATATGCCCGGAGAACAGGCTGGAGCAGTGTTTTCTTTCGTTGAGGCAGCAGCATGCCGAGCTTTGGAGGCTTCGCATGGTGCTCTTTTTCTTGTTGATGCACCAAGCCGTTCACTGTTTGCCCGTGTGGGTGCTGACTGGCGAGGTTATGCGCTATCAATCGGTCAGAAGTTACAAGGTCGTGTTGCTTCCACTGGGACAGTCATGCGTCTCCGTGAGGCTCGTACCCATCCAGAGTTTGACAGTGATTATGATCGCTTGATGGGTATGCAGACATCAAGTTTATTGTGCGTTCCAATCAAGGCACAGCCGTCAATGTCCTCATTTGTCTCCTCAGGAGCTTCTGGCCGATCTGAGCGCCGTTGCAGCAGCTTCAGTACGAGCAGCAGCACGGACGATTACAGCGATGATCGGCCAGTTATTGGCGTGTTTTATGCTGTTAACAAGATCAACACTAGCGGTGACACTGAGGGGTTTGATGCGGAAGACGAGCAAGTTCTGCGAGCAATTTGTGTTGAACTCTCTGCTCTCGTAGAGCGCCGTGCTTGGGAGCTTGCGTTTGAGTCTCCTTCGTACGAGGACAGTGAAAGCAGTGACAGTGAAACGGAGGGTCACGTGACGCGGACGTTCTTGTCGCAATATACCACAGCATCACCTGTGCGGCGTCGACGACGACCTCGTTCACGTCTTCCATCTGTCGTCAACGATCTCGATCATGCTGCAGCAGTTGTCGCTTCCACATCGTATCACGAGCGCTGCTTCTTGAGTAGCAAAGGCGGATGTGGGATGTAAATGTTATCTTCGCTTCAAGGTGGCATTGGCCTTGCCACCAGACAAGGAATTCAAGGCCCAGTTTTACAATGGAATTTGGACCCGTGGCAGTTTTCACCGGCACAGCTTGTTGACCTTGCCGTGGATATGTTCGAGCTTCATGAATTGATGGACAGGTTTGATTTGCCTGAGGCCACTTTGCGTCGCTTCCTGCACAGCGTACAAGCCCAATACCTCGATGTACCGTATCACAACACGTACCGTGCCTTCGCGACACTCCACATGACGTTCTTGATGCTCAGTGCACAAAGCAAAAAGCTTGCTCCGTATCTGATTCCTGCGTCAATTGCACTGGGAGTTGGCCCGACAACGAATGCTCAAGCCGTTGAAAGAAGCCGACAGAAGCGGTGTGGTCAACTGGTTCTCGCTCCGCGCGAGCGACTTGCACTTTTTGTGGCAGCTTTTTGCCACGACATGGGCCACGATGCCCGCACGAACGACTTTCACGTGAGATGCAACTCGCGACTTGCTCGTCGTTACAATGATCATTCAGTTTTGGAGAACATGCACGCAGCTGCATGCTTCGAGACCATGCGAAGGCCCGGCCATGATATTCTTGCTGGTCTTGAGGATAGCTCGAGTGATACTGTTGGCAGCCGTCGCGTTGTCCGCAAGCGTATCATCCGTTCCATTCTTGCCACGGATATGCACCGGCACGCGAGTATCGTGGCCAAGCTGCATGAAGCACAAGTTCGTGGAAGCCGTAATGACGGTGACGCGTTGTGTGAGCTGCTCGTGGACGCTGTGATTCATTCGGCAGATGTATCTGGTCCAACTCAAACTTGTGAGCAGCATTTCCGCTGGACAAGGAGGCTGCTTGACGAGTTCAACGAGCAACATGCTGAAGAGGTTGAATTGGGCATTTCTGCGACAGCTTTCATGGATGGTCGACCGGACTCGGCCGAATTTGCAAGGGTAAATTTGGCTTTCGTTGGCTCATGTGCGTTCCCTCTGTGGCGAGCAATGGGAGGAATGTTAGCCGGATTGGAAGGTTGTCTTGCAAATGTGGAGCGAAATCGTGCGATGTGGGCTACTAGGTTGGAACAAGCAACACAGTTAGAAGCTAACGAACGTACCGACAAGGTTCCAGCCACACCTTTCACCCCCACGAAAGAGACGGTCCCTGAGAGGCTAAACATTGCCATTGTAAGTGTCAGCACGCCGGAAACATGCGGCTAAACCTCAACGCCAAGTAATGGACAAACGTAGGAAAAATGCGACCGACGCCTCACGATACCTGCGAAAGGTCTTTGGACACCGTGCAAGCCACGGATACTTGTCGTGTTTTATAATCCAGCTTTAGTTCCAGCGAAAAAGTTGTAATCATTAGCATTTAGCAAGTAGGACGACCCCGCACGCCTAAGCATTATGATGCCTGACGCCACTCTTACAACAAAAGATGACATTGTAATATGGTTCTACTGGGTCGATATAGTGCAAACAAAGCCGTTTTTATTTCTCTTCCGCTGCTGTAGTAGACAGTCTCTTACTGATCGCCGCTCTAGAATTAGATATCGCTAGGTGGATGGATGCATATATCTATTTAATGGCTTCGGTTGTCCTTCAAAGACAAGAAACTTAATGGACGAATACAATCTAATCACAAATAGTCGAGTTCGGCTTAGCAGTGGTCACCGAGGACCTCTTGCTCCACGGTATCTGAGTTCGTGATGGTTGGAGATGTAGAGGTGGTATTACGAGGTCGAGGTGGTCTGCGGCCACGTTGTGATGTCCGGTCCCTCGGCAAAAATTGTAAAGCCGTCGGTCGGTACGGCTTCCTTCGTGCTGATGTTGTTGGCAAACCAGAGGAAGCGGAAAGACTTGCGAGTTGCGATGATACGAGAACCGCCGAAATCGACATTGTTGGAAACAAGTGACCAGCTTGGGACCAGCGACGATGGAATATGCCGAATGGCGTGACCTTCGTAGTTGCCGCCCGAGCCCGTAGTCACATAGTAGATACCTTTAGCGGTGTTCTTCACGTTTTTAAAGATCTTGGCAGTGCGCTCGTATGCGTGGACGTGACCCGAGATTATGGCGTTCACACCATTAGCCGAGAACACATCCTCCAACTTGGCCATCTGACCGCACTGCGGCTCGAAGTACGCATTGCCCGAGAAGTAAGTGCCATTCCAGCACTTTTCAGCATCGACGATTTCGAAGACGGTAGGAGAGCACTGGCACTGGTGGTCGATCCATGTGTTGTAGTACGGGTTGTGCCTAAACACAACCACCCACGGGGTAACGCTACGGTCCACGCTTTCCAAATCCGTCTTGACCCACTCAAGCTGCATGTTGCGGTCCTCCAGCCACTCGTCCGTGCCAACAACCGTTGCATTGACGCCGCGCGATCCGGTGTAGTCGTCCAGGAATACACAGTGAATGAGACCAATGTTTACCGAATACCAGGTGTGCAGCTTTTTCTTAGCTTCCTCGGTGATCGGTGTGTACACGCGTTTGATGTAGCCCAAGTAATTCTCAGCCTCCAGTTCCATGTCTGGTGGGTACGGGTACATGTTCAAGTGGCCTGACGACGTGATGGTCTCGTGATTGCCATTGATACCAATCAATGGGTAGGTTGATGTAAAGGACTGTTGTTTTGTAAACCAATTGTCCCATTGCGCGTGCAGTCCGTTGGCATACGAGTAATCTCCAACAATCACAAGAGCTTGGATGTGCTTGCCTTCGAATGTTTTGTGCTGTTCAGCAAATGTCGCCTCGGAAAAGGTTGTATCACCAGGGTCTCCAATCACCCCAAGAATGGTCTCCTCCTTGTCGGAGCCAGAATGCAACAACGACACGAACGTCCCCGTGAACTCCGAGTCACCAATAGTGTACGAATATTTCGTCATCTCGTCAAGATCACACAGTAGTGCTGTGTGTAGGAACGGAGACGTGTAAGCGTAGTTATGCTCAGCCTCCGACACCGAGTATTTAACAAAGGTGCTATCGGCCTTGACGGTGGTACCGTCGGCCGTACCAGTGACCAGGTACGACTTTGCCACATCCGTGGCGAAGGATACGGCGATACCATTGGGACAATCAACTGCGGAGCTAGAAACACCGAGATGGACTTGACTCACCTTACCAAAGGCCAATTGGACGGACAGAGTAGCCGTCATGGCAACAAACGAGGCGATGCACTTGACCATTGCGAGAAATATTCAAGAATCAGTGTGAGCGAAGACGACCCCTATCGTGTTGTTAAAGCACTTGAGTTGTAGAAAACAAAATGCAAAGTGAATATATTTAGGTCCTTAGTTCACAAACTCTGTTGCTACTCTAAGCCTACTGGATTCTTCGACTACACGTTTCTAATCGCTATATCGCGCATTACTCATGGGATAGCCGCACATGAGTAATCTACTCTACACACATGACTCATCAGATAGTCACTCATGAGTAATCCACGCTAGTGGTATTACTCATGGGATAGGCGCACACCTAACTAATCAGACCGTACATTCTTGTGGTTGCCGTTTGCATGCCGAGTCGCTTCTTTTACAACATATCGTCCTGCGGACTGATGCGTCAATGTCCCATCTGGCTTGGTCTAGCACACTTGACTATCCTCTAGGCCATACACTATCATTTGAGATTCAAGAAGCCCCTTACTTACACTGTAAAAGAGATGGTCCATCTCGTCGGCCCAGATTTTTTTCAAAAAAGAGCGCTACAATCATCGATCGTATCA